TTCAGTAGTGTTTGTTATGACCAACGTTTGTTGTTTTGACTGTGGTTTCGGAATTGCAGCCGTTTGTTTTTGATCCAGTTTAGACAGCTGCCTCTTGCGTCCATTTACCATGAGCGATCGACAGCAAGATGTTCCCGAACAAGCAGCGTCTCCTCGTGCGTCGTCGTCGGCACAGTCCCCTCAAGACGCCGCAGCACGTCGTGAATGGTTGGCCCAGGCCCTTCTCGAAGTTTTGGAACACTCGGGCACCGACTCACCAGCATCTTCGACGACTCTTGACAGTAACTTCCGAGAGATGCTTGCACAGTTCATCGAGACGACCACCAACGAAATCAACAATCTGAAGCAGCGGGTAACAGCGCTAGAACTCCTCCATACGTAGATTGCTACTTGCGCCCTGCATCAAAATCAAGTGTACCATAGTACTACTCTTCGATTTCTTAGTCAACCGGCACAGACCGGGTAGGTGTGTGTGGAATTCCTGTTTCTAAGGAAGAGACTTTCTGAAGACTTTTCATCTTTGAAGACCATCGGAGATAGCGATTAATGTTGAATGCAGGGGGGCAATCTGCCCAGTCAGAGTGATTGCCCAACGAAGAGGCTCTGACTAGGCACTGAAATCAGTCTGGGACGCTGGACTGACGTACCTGCAGTGATGTCCAAAAAGAAGACATCTGTGTGAGTATGTAGTCTTGAGACTACATACAGACTTGTGTAACCCACTTCTACTTTCTGTTCTACTTGCTTTGTGAGTACTTCGTCCTATGTAGTTGGCTGGTAGAAGAAGTTGTAGAGTATCGGAAGACATTCCAGTAATCTTGAAGCTCTGAAGACCACCTTTGTCGAAGCGGTACAGAAAGAGTGCACAATTCGAAGCGTGAAGAGAAAGATGACGATTCGAGACAACCGTATGTAGCTGCGCATGTGAGTGCAAGAGGAAGTCAGGCATCCAGTGACGAGCAATGCGTGCAGGAGCCCATGTTCGTACGGATACATGTGCGCTATGGATAGGGTTTGGCGTCCGATGATGCGACTATGCCGGGTAAGCTTGGTTTCAGGGTTCCTCTTTCGATCCTGGCGACGGGCTTCAAGCTGAACCCTCAATCCTTTCTCGGGCCGGGTGAGCCTGATTTTTTTTCACACCTGCTGCATGCCGGGGCGAGACAGAAGGCCTCCTCCCCCAAAGATTTTCAAATGCTAAGTTTCGCAAGCTTTGTTTCTGCAAGACTTAGGACTGATTGTGGGTCACTCCAGCCCAACCCAAGCTCTAGACCTAAACCGAACGAAACCCCTACAAGAGAAGTTGGAGGGCGATGAGATGTATTGAGACCTTGTGAGTGCCTGTGAAGTGCTGCTTGCCTTAGACGGCCACAACAATGCCGGCATGCTGAGAAGAAGCAGGCGATACCTGCCGGCTAAGGGGGGTTGCTGACTGCACTGATGTTTCAAAGGCGGACCAATTCGCATGTAGTCAAGTCCCGGAAGCCTCGCCTGACGCAGTCGTGTGCGAGTGCGAACAAAACCCTTATATAAATCAAAACCCCAAACCCAACCCTTAAACAATTACGGCCCTAAAGCCCTGAAGCCTCAAAACCCTAAAGCCGACATGGGCAGACATCCAAAACTACTATTTGCTTAAGAACCCCCAAAAATAAAAATAATCATCCCTATATTTCCTCCATAAGGAACATATTTTGTATTTTTTGGTGGTTCTTAAGCAAATAGTAGAAAAGGAGCTTCAAAACTCTTAGCAAAGGAAGCGCAGATCCGGAAGATCATGCCAACGCTCGTCTCCCTGCGCCTGAGTCTTCATTGGTTCGGTGCCCATCTGGGAGTTTCCGAAAATTAGGGGTGCCTTAGGGTTCCTTTAAAGGGTTACCATAAGGGTTCCTTAAAGGGATCTATAGGAGTTCTATAAGGGTTTTAGGGTTTAGAGTTTCCGAAAATTAGGGGTGCCGTGTTTTGGGATCTTTATAATAAGGATCCTACCACCTGGGGTACTGTATTAGGGTCCCCCATTTTCGGAAACTCCCATATGTATGTATGTGTACATACACATACATACATACATACATGCATACATACATCCGTACATGCGTACATACATTCATACATACATACGTACGTACTTATACATACACGCACGAGCGCCGATCCCGACCCTGCACGACCCAGGTGTGGCGGGGCTGAAGAGGCGGCTTATGCCATCGCCTCACGCCCTCAGCTTCTCGAGGTCCGGCAACACGGAGCTTGAGGGAGCTATTAGGAGCTCAGGGTTTGGGGTTTAGTTCAGGTCTTGTCTTGGGGTTTCTAGGGGCTTAGAGTTCCGTTTTTCGAGACTTGCGTTTGGGGACTGGGGTGTTTGGGGGTCTGCGTCCACCTGGCCCTGAAGATGCAAGGTGGCGAGATCTCCGCGATATGTGTTCTTCGGGGTTTGGGGCCTTTAGCAGCATAGGGGTTTAGGGGTTCATGGGTCAGGGGTTTAGTTCGGGAGTTTTTTTTGATGGGTTTTCGGGGTTAGGGGGTTTTGCCACTGTTGTTGGCATAGACACCCTTATAGAGCCCTTTATAGGAACCCTCACAGGAGCCCTTAAAGGGACCCCTCAAAGGATCTCTGAAAGGAGGCCTTAAAGGAGCCCTTTAAGGAGCCCTTAAAGGATCTCTTAAAGGAGCCCTTAAAGGGATCACCTGACCCTGTTGATTTTGGCCCCACTGCGAGGTCGAGGCGGCATCGAGCTTTCGAAGCGCCTTGCAGGCTGGGTTTAGGGTTTAGGGTTTAGGGGTATAGGGTTTAGAGTTTAGGGGTATAGGGTTTAGGGTTGAGGTTACCTGGGCTCTTTCAGAGCCTGGGGAACCAATTGGTACATTTTATTGCTGTGACTATGATCATGACTCTGATCATGAATGCTCTTGTTCTTGTTTCCATTACCATCACCATCCTCAATATCATTATCACTGTGGCTACGGCTACGGCAAGGGTCCTTGCATTCAGAGCATCTGCATCGTGCCTTTGTGTTGTGGCAAGGGGCGGAGGTTTTGATTTGAAGCGCGAACACATCCCCTATGGCCAGCAAGCCCTTAACTTTCGTGCAGCAGCACTTCACTAACCTACCACAGTCATGCCGTGCTGTATGAGTTTCTCCGGAAGCCCAATTGCTCTGAAGCCCCCAAAGCCCAAACCCTCAACACCCGAAGATGTTCGGCTCCCCGGTGTCCGATATAGGGGCCTAAGCAGTTACCAATACTGTTCTGGTGGTTGCTGCTTATGGTTTAGTACAATATACCTCCAAACCCTGTTCTAATTATTGAGGCCCCCTACGATATCATAGAACCCTTATAGTAACCCTCATAGGAACCCGGTAAAGGAACCCCTAAACTTACTTTTGGTTAGTAGGGAATGGAAGAATGGTAGTAATAGTAGATATAATTATACCCTATTCCTCCATTCCCTACTAACCACAGGTAAGTATATCCGCTCTTTGGGAATTTTAGAAACTAAGGGCCCTTACAGGAACCCGGTAAAGGAACCCTTAAAGGGACCCCTCCCAGGCCCCCTGCGATATCATAGAACCCCTATCGTAACCCTCATAGGAACCCGGTAAAGGAACCCTTAAACTTACCTTTGGTTAGTAGGGAATGGAAGAATGGAAGTTTAGAAACTAAGGGGCCCTTATAGGAACCCGGTAAAAAACCCTAAAAAGGGACCCCTCCCACCTGGAGGATCATGGGACTTAGTAAGTGGGGTTATAAGTACCCTAAGTGAGGTTATAAGTAACTATAAGTATAGTTGCCTTAATTATAACCCTAGTTACTAAGTCCCATGATCCTTTAAGCAGGCCCTTGCGGGCTTCTTCGGAAACCTGAAAGATGGTCTTTTCCTCCTGGGCCAAACCACCGCGCCGCCTTCGGTGAAAGTCTTCGCCCGGCAGTTCTGCCGCGAGTACATGGTGGCCTGGGCTTCTTCAGCTTAGTGGCTGAGTGGATACACTTTACACTTTTTTTTGGATACTATGACCCACTATAAAACTGAAAGTGTGCACTTTTGGGGGCTTATGAACTCAACAACTAAGTCAGAGGATTCCTACAAGGCTTCTTAGGAGGTCCTTCAGAGGCTTGTGGTCTTCTTCAGAGGATTCCTACAAGGCTTCTTAAGAGGTTTGTGGTCTGCTTCAGGGGACTCCTACAAGGGTTCTTATGAGGTTCCTTGAGAGGGTTGATAGGGCTTTTCCTCAGAAGTTTTTGAAGGGTTCCTGCCAGGGCGCCAGCCGCCACGGTGTTTTATAAGGTTCCTTCAGAGGGTTGAGAGAGGGTTTTGGGTGTCCAGGTCTTCTCCAGAGGGTTTATGTGGCTTTAGGGCTTTGGCGTGTAAGGCGAAGCGTATATGGTGGCCAGGAGTTGGTAGTTTTCAGCAATGCGTTATCTGAATTTGGTGGTATGGAGCCATGGCAGGCAAATCCTTCAGACAGCCTTCAGCGTAACACGACATGATGCTATTTCCTAAAATCCCCTTGAGTCGTTGATAAGCTTGTTATCGCCCCGTCATAACATCCCCCATTGATCCCCCTACCTACGCCTTGGCACCCGGGTGGGATGCAGCCATCTCCCCAGGTGGGAGAGTACTTCTTGATCGGCGGTGCGCAGGTGGGGGCCCCAACGAGCGGCCATAAAGCCCTGAACTAGAGTGCTTCGTGCTGGTCTTATTGATAGAGCACGCTTCGCTGATGTCGCATGATTCTGCCAAGAACCTCCAGGTATAGCCCACGAGGCACTCTTCCGAGCCTATAAAATCAAGATTAAGGCCCGCAAGCAGCTACTGGAAGCTTATCAGAATGCATTGCACAAAGCCTTTTGAGTAAAACCAACTTGATGCCCTGCATGGAATAAGCTTCCACTGGCTCCTAAACCCCAAACACCAAAGCCCTAGACCATAGGCTCTATACAAAGTACCTTCTGTACCCCAGGTCGACGATCGCCCTGTTTGGTGCAAACCGGCGTCATCGATGGCACACCTGGGCCCCCGGGCTGTGCGAGTTCCATGCATCTTTGGGGCTTGGCATGGGGGTAGCAAGCCGCAGTTTCCCACGAGTCTGACACCGAACTCTCAGATGCTTACACAGGGTTTAGGGTTTAGGTTAAGCCTCAGGGGTTCAGGGTGTAGCATCTGAGGGAAGAGCAGCATGCAAAAGATTAGTCAGGTTCCAGAGCCAAAGACGTCTACTTGGTCTACTGCCAGAAGGGCGTCGTCGGGTCGGACCAGCAGCACCCATGCTGGACATTTTCCACCAAGTACACCTCAGCAATGAAGAAGCAGGACTCTCGGTTGAGGTAGAACGCCCCCAAATCCCAAGCCTCAAGATAAGAAAGTCCGAAGGCTGCTGTAGGGCGAGGCCTGGCGATGCCAGCCGAAAAGACAGATCAGGGGTTTGATTCCGTCATGCTGGTTGGTCCCAGGTTCCGTCACATGCCTAAGCCGTAGACCCTGAACCCTGAACCTGAATCCTGAACCTGAACCCTGCATCCTCAACCCTAAACCTTAATTAAACCAAAACAGGCCCCGGCCCTATCCTTCTAAACCCGAAACTCCAAACCCCAAGCCTTGGGTACTGCCCCCACTCAGTAACAGTTAGATAATATCCATAATATAGATTTTTTGGACCTAAATAGTGGCCCTGCTATAGACTGTTACTGTATGGGGGGGACAGTACCCAACCCTAAACCCTAAACCTTAAACCCTAAACCCTAAACCATAAACCTTAAACCCTAAACCCTAAACCCTAAACCCCTTAAACCCTAGACCCTAAACCCTAGACCCTAAACCCTAAACCTTAAAACCCTAAACCCTAAAAGCGCAGGATTACTGCGACCCCGAGATCCTGGGTTGGGCCGCCTCCAAAGCCAAGTCGCCGGATCAGATCCGCGAGGGAGATTGGCACTTCCCCGCCGAGAACCACAAGACCCAGGAGCCTCTGAAGAGCTTTTGGGGGTGAATATGGGAGTTACCGAAAATTGGGGGTACCCTATTTTGGGGGTCCTGATCCTATTGTTTAGGGTATTACATTAGGGTCCCCTATTTTCGGAAACTCCCATATAGGGATCGTAGTATAACCCTAGGGATCAAAATAGCCCAAAAGCCTAAAATAGTATGGTCTTTGGGCCCAAAAGCCTTTTTGTATGAGTCCTTAGATCCCTAGGGTAATACGCTTCAGAACCATACTCTCGTTATCGAGGGCTCTATCTTCGGATAGGTTGGGGCTGTTGGGGTCTGGACTTCAGCATTTGGGCTTCAGGGCTGGGTCCCAAACCCTACCTGGAGGTTCATGGGTAGTTGTAAGTGGGGTTTTAAGTCCCCTAACATGGGTTATAAGTATAGTTACCCTACTTATAACCCTACTTATAACTACCCATGAAACTACAAGTATACCTCGTAATCTAGGAACCTGATTCCGAAACCCTGGATCTTTGTTAGGGCTCTTTCTGCGAATCCTGGGGTTGTACGGCCAGGGTTTCTGAATCAGGCTCCTGCATTACCCTACACCCTAGCCAGTGGCGGCAGAGAGCTAAAAGGGCACCGCAACATTAAGCCCCAAAGCCCTGAACCCTGCAAGCCCTTAACCTCGACATTTTCGTCCTTGCTAGGTAGGAGGCGAAAAAACAACCTCGACATACGGAGAAGGAGCGTTGAAATCAACCCTAAACCCTAAGCCCTAAACCCTAAGCCCGCCCTGAACCCCAAACCCCTAAACCCTAAGCCCTAAACCCTTAACCCCAGCCCTAAACCCTAAACCCCTAACCCTAAGCCCTAAACCCTAAACCCCGAAGCCTCTCAGGTACCGGGCCTCTGGCCCAACGACCGGTACGTCGACTGCAAAGGCCCGGGCCTGTTGTTTCAGGGCTTAGGGTTTTATTTAGGGAAAGGTTAAAGGTATAGTACAATGGGCCCCCAAACCCTACTCCAATTATTAAGGCCCTTTTATTAGGGTTTGCAAGAATGGAGGGCTGGCGTTCTTGCAAGCAAGCCTGCAGCAAAAAAGACTGGAGGGCTTGAGCTCAATGGGGCCTTCCGTTAGGATGGTCGTGGTAGAAGCCATGAGACCAACGCCCCATAGGCACTCAACCCTAAATCCTAAGACTTGAACATCGCCTTCGGAAATCTGTTTCATCACTATTCTGACTAATCGTATGTCAAGGGATATTTTTAGTGGTTAGATTTAATATCTAAGCTCATTATTGCTGACTAGTATTATTACGACAACCGTTCTGAGTATGATTATTGTACATCAGATGTACCGGAGGATAATTCAAAGATGTAATATACACCAAAGTCCCAGGGATGATTAATACTATTGCTGTTGTTCTGTTTCGTTCAAGTAAAGGGATCATTCAACGTGCCTTGTCGGCCCAACCCGGAAGCCCTTTTGTCCCGCGCCGCAACCCACCGAAAATGCCCAACACCCGGTCTTGCAGTCGAAATCCGTTATGCCCAGAGCCATCCCCAAAACCCCAAACATGCCCTTGCCAAAAACTCCACAGCCTAAGCCCTGCCACCAGAATCCACCAGAAAACTCTCAAAGCCCGAAACCACCCCCAAACCCCCATCCCCTGAAGCCCTTTATCCGAAACGCATAAAGCATCTTCAAGCCCTATCTCTCTTTACCGCTAAACCCTCAAGGGTTCAGGGTTCAGGGTTTACATCAACAAGCCGGTTGCAACTCCTTACCCCAAGGCCCCAAAGTAGTTCCTTTTTGGGGTTCGTATATAGAATCCTATAAGGTAATCCCAAAAAGGAACTACTATGGGGCCTCTGGGTATTCCTTAAAGCACCCAGAGAGCCCAATACCCCTTAATTAAGGAATATGGCTTAAATTACATAGGGCTTCATTTATGATTTAAGCTATATTCCTTAAAGGAGGGGTATTTGACTCCCTCAACCTTAAACCCTATAGATCCCTTAAAGGATCCCTTTACAGGAACCCGTAAGGATCCTTTTAAAGGAACCCTAGGTATTCCTTAATTGAGGGGTATTGGGCTCTCTGGGCATCTCCAAAGGCCCTGAACTGCTCGCCAGGTGGCGGGCGGCCCCTGGGTCCTTGGCTCTGCTTATACTCGCCCCAGGAGGGTTTAGGGGTTTAGGGTTTAGGGGTTTAGGGTTTTAGGGTTTAGGGCTTTAGGGTTTAGGGGAGCCCCGGAGGGGTCACTCAGGGCCGTGGCCGCACCCTAGGGATCAAAATCGCCCAAAAAGCCTTACGTAGTATGGTCTTTGGGTCTTTGGGCCCAAAAGCCCTAATATATGAGTCCTTAGATCCCTAGGGGTAGAGTTTACAATAAGGATTAGCACCATCACGCGCGACGTGTGTTCTGGTTTGCGCCCAGGTTCACCTCTTTCTCCCAGCACCCGCACCCAGTTAAGACAGTCGAAGAGTTTAGGGTGTTATTTCGACTTCTTTCGGCAAGCGTTCGGGGCTTGTGGATTGGACGTCGGTGCCACTGCTTGCATGGCCAGTCTCCTAGGGTGGTCGTGGTTTAAGGGTACAGGTTGAGATCAATATCTCCCAAAGCCTACTTTGCAGTGTTGAAGCGCTTGTTGCCGGAGTCGGGCCCTACCGTAGACTTACTTTCAAAGAGGTCAGAAACTCAAACCCCGGACCATTCAAGTCACCCCAGCCTGGCATTCGTCCCGTGCGCAGGACTTGCGTCATGCCTTTGACCTCGCACCTAGGCTTTGCACTTCTACCCTAAACTAGGTCCTAAACCCTAAACCCTAAGGGGTTAAGGTTTCAGGCTCAGGTCTCAAGGCTTTTGGGATGGGAGGCTGGTCCTGGAGTTTGCCGCTTAATGTGAACAGGATCAGGAACGCCAGATGCTTTTCTGAGGTTAGGGGTGGGGGCGTCGGTTAGGGCCGAGACGTGTTACGCAAGAAGTGAGACGGTGCGCTGAATGATTAAAGACGCAAGACATGTCCAGGCGTGGTTGAATGCTCCACTAGCTTTGTCGCTACCTCTTTCAGAACGTACTTGCCCAGCTTCTTACAGAAATTCCAGAAGACTCAGCAGTGTAATATGCCGTCAGCTGCTGCACACAGCCCGGCTCGAGAGGTGCTGGCGGCTACTTCAAAGCCGGCACCCAAAGCCCTGATTGGGTTTTGCGGTATATTCTACTATACTTATACTAAGGACACCCCCCTCAAAAGAGAAAATCATATAGGTAATTTTTAGGGCACTTATAGTAGCTTTGACTTGTCCAGGTACGAGTGGCCCTCCACGTTGCGTGGATGCCTGGCTCTGACTCTGGAAGTGGTCCTCGCCTGCTGGGGCACATTCTCAAGCAAGATCCTGTCTTTCGGGACAAGAGCTGCTCGGTGACATATGAACAATTAACTTGCACAGTCGTTGAAGGTAGGTAGAGTTCATAATGCAAACACCAGTTTCGAGTGTAGATTTTTGTCGTGATATCAAGATACGTTTGTCTCCCGATCTCTCTTTCTTAGTTAGATAGATAGATAAAGGGATAATGGATAGACCGGTAGATAGATCGATAGATAGATGGCCAGACAGATCCCCAGAATGAGAGAGATGTCTGGCTCCTCTGTCGAAGTTCCGTGCGGTAGCTCCGGCTGCGGTGGTGGGTTTGGGGACGGAATGGGTTCAGCGCTTAGGGATTACGATGGTAGGCTTGGACTGGGTTTCTGGCTTTCAAGTGATAAGCGCACTGCCGTGCCAGCAGTCTTTATTTTGGTCATCATCAACGGCCAGAGCTGGTTCTGTTGGCCACCAGCATCTCTAGTTCTACTGTTGGTCCCAATTCCACGTTACCCTTACTTTTGGAAGTATTGCTCGCCGTCAATTTCATCTTCCGCGCCATGGCCACCAGGATCGCCTCCGTGGTCATCACACTATTAATGCATTCTAACCACAAAGAGTGTCAGCATAAGTGCTGAGCCTGTTTAATCGCCATCATTAGTCTCGTGCTGATGTGCAACTGCCCGTCATCATCGTAGTCATACTCAAGCCGTCATGCCAGTCGTCAATATCGTTAATTACCGTCAGCCTCATAAATAACATCTGGGAGTTTTCGAAAATAGGGGACCCTAATATGGTACCGTAAATACTAGTATCGTTATTATAAGGACCCCAAAATAAGGTACCCCTACTTTGGTAGCCCTAATTTTCGGAAACTCCCATCTCCATCATCATCACCGTCATAACTGTCGTCATCGGCATCCCCTAACTGGTCATCGTCCTCGTCACCGCTGTCGCCATCACCATCATTCCCCTGTGTACCCTTCCTCATTCGCAACGCCAACACTTCAGCACCATAGCCCTCACCACTACCAGAGAGAGAGAGAGAGAGAGAGAGAGAGAGAGAGAGAGAGAGAGAGAGAGAGAGAGAGAGAGAGAGAGAGAGAGAGAGAGAGAGAGAGAGAGAGAGAGAGAGAGAGAGAGAGAGAGAGGGAGAGAGAGAGAGAGAGAGAGCGCGAGAGCGAGAGCGAGAGAGAGAGCGAGAGCGAGAGAGAGAGCGAGAGAGCGAGAGAGCGAGAGAGCGAGCGAGCCCTTAGCACTGCCATCGGCATAATCAGCACTTGCAATCACTTAGACTCATCAGCACCGATGCGGTCATGTACACAGGCAGCAGCGGCAGCGGCAATGTTGCTTACAGGATTTGCAATGCCCCTCTCAGTATCACCACATATTTTGACTCTCGTCGTCGCTCGCCTGTCATGTGCATGTACGAATCTACGAGTGCACCGATCCCAACTCTTACAGGCTGTGAGGGTGAAGCTTCCGAAACGCCCATGCACTTCACAGCTTGGTGTTGGACTTTCTCACCCCTCAACTCTGTTAACCGGAGCCAACACCCAGGCAAGATCACCTTTCTGGACACTGCGGACTTTGCGCATATTCGGCGATGGCTCTTCTTGCAGGTTCCCGCGAGTCTACCGGATTCAACGCCTGCTCCTTGCTGTGGTGTTTAGGGTTTAGGGTGTAGGATTCAGGCGGTAGAACTTAGGGTCCAGGGTTTTAGGATTGAGTGTTTCGGACTGGATTTGATGGGGTTTTAGGCCTGCTGCCACGTTGGCTTTGGATGTTGCGAGCACCCTTTGGCTTGAGGCCCTATAAACCTAATCCACTGCAGGATTGCGAATCGGTGAATTGCTGTCGTGGTTTTGGGAGTCTCAGCCATCAGGAACCAAGGCCGCGCGCCTTTCACCCCGCGGCCCACGGGGTCATAAACTTGTGCAGGCCAGGAATACTTGGAGGTTCATGGATAGTTATAAGTAGTAGGGTTATAAGCAGGGTAACTATACTTATAACACATATTAGGGGGACTTATAACCCCACCTATAACTACCCATGAACCTCCAAGTACAGTCAACAAGACTTGCGAGCAGAAGCTTCGTTGTAAATGTACCCCGCTCCATCCAAAAAGCATTGCCGCAGCTGCTTTCAACAACTCACCGAAAACCCAACTAAAACACTGGCCCTAGACCCCAAACCGTAATAGTTGAAGACCTCGTTTGGCTGAGTTCCGAGTTGCGAGAGCATAAACCTGAAAAGTTGCCGAGGTGCAGCTTCGTGCTTGGGAACCCATCGAGGTCTGCATGCTTTTCAGCGCGGAAGAGGGTGGCAGCAAATCGCACGAGGAGGCGGCGGCTGGGCTTTGGGGTTAGGCTTATTGTTCTTTCGGGGTGTGATTGGAATTTTAGTTCAGGATTTTGGTTCAGGGCTGGCGGTTGATGATTTGAACGCCAGTTGTGGTATGGACTGCTTCAACAGGACCCTAAACGGATGCTGCGCAGCATCTGCGCAGTCACCGGCGCCTGGTCATAAGAAAACTGATATCGACCTAGAACAAGTCAGGCAAAAATACCACCAGCACATAGAAAGCCAACATGCAACACTTGGCATGAAAATGAGAAGATCACTATTGCAACTGTGCGGTATGCAGTTACTGGAAGAGCCATCCATGTTCTGGAGGAAGCAGCAGCAGGAGGAGCAGCAGCAGCAGAAGGAGGAGGAGGAGGAGGAGGAGTTGTAGTAGCAGTAGTAGTGGTAGTAGTAGTAGTAGCAGTAGTAGTAGCATTATTGTTAGTACTGTTGCCACCGGTAGTCGTCGTAGTTGTCGTTGTTCTCGCACTTGTTGCTGCCGTCGTAGTCATGGTCGTGAATGCCGTCGTCGTGATCGTCGCCGTTGCTGTAGCAGCAGCAGTAGCGGCAGCCGTAACTTTGCCGATAGTTGAACTTGTTGCAGCAACACAGACAGCCTTCCAGGGTGCAGCCGTATGTGTGTTGCGTAACATACACATTGTAGTATTTAGCAACAATCCTGCAATTTATCTGTTTCAGCGTTGACAGTCGGCATACACGCAATAGCTGCAATCAGGCAGCAACGGAGTTTGCAATGCACATGACAGGAATTGAGAGAGTGGCAACCAGTATCGCTATAATCATATCCTTCAGACAATCATTAAACCAAAAAGTTCGATGCTGAACCTATTCGTTTTAGAGCCGCAGCACTTGGAGTCGCTGAACTCGACAGTCGAAACCCCCTTTCCCGAAGACCGAAACCCCTAAACCGCCAAGCCTTCAAACCCTGGACCCTTAAACCCTACATGGGCAGTTTGCCAAATTCAGGGTCCCTGTAGGTCCCCAAAACAACACGGCACACTCAGAAAAGGGTGCTAAAAGGGACCCTAAGTTAAAGAACTACTCCAATCCCTTGAACTCTGAATCCAAAAAAACCTATATATAATGTAATATATATATATATGTAACAAGTAAATTTTGGAATCTGCAATCTATAACGAGCAATAGTACAGAACATATGATATACTCTAAATCCCTTCAGCCTCCAGGTGCTTGCGAAGGCCGACTTCCGCCTTATGCCCGAGGGCTCCGTGGCCAAGGTCTTTCCGAAGATCGCCGGGGGTCCACCTCTAGCGGAGCAGGCCAGGGCTGCGGGTTGAGGGCTTTAGGGCTTTAGGGGCTTTAATTACGGTTTAGGGTTTAGGGTTTGAGGGCTTCAGGGGTGCACCCTTTTGGGGTTTAGCGCCTGGGGGTTGCTGCGGTAGGACTTAGGGTCCCAGGGTTTAGGATGTTGGGTTCGGAGATCGGGGCTCGACCACTCATCCAGTTTGGAAGTCCTCTTCCGAGTAGTCCTTGATCAGCCGTTGCAAGCATTGCGGCAGTTGAAGGATCAGGGCACTGCGTGCGCTCAAAAGAGGGTTCAGGGCTTCGATGTGCGGTGCTTGTGCGCGTGCAGCATTCTTTCATTGGCATTCGTTGTTGTCGATGACAGTTGTCATGGCTTTCATTGCAGCAGGGCGGTTCTTTGTGCCCCATGTCCCTTTCATCGACTTGCAGGAAGAACTGGAAGAAGGGCCATTGTGCTTTGCATATCTTTCGTTCCCAAGTCGATTCCTCATTGTTGTTGGCAGCTTGGCCATCGACCATCGCTATTGTTGCTGCAGCCCGTCACCATCGCCTTCAAAATTAGTACTGCCCCACCACCAAAGCTGCCGCTTGGTCATGACAGTCTACTACTCGTCACCTTCATGACCATGACCAGCATCCCACCACCACTTTCACAACAATCAGTTTCGCCAGTGCTAGCGCGTTCGTCTGCAACGCAACAGCACATCGACGGCAGCAGCAGCAGCAGCAGCAGCAGCAGCAGCAGCAGCAGCAGCAGCAGCAGCAGCACCATCATTACCACCACCAGCACCACCGCCATCACAGTGGTGACCATGCTTACCCGTACCGTGTGACATGTGGGTGCGGAGCTCTGTTTTGTAAGCTGATGTATTTCTTCATATCCCGATCTACAGTCTACAGCAGGTGATGCTGTCGTAAGCTGTTTCCACGAACCTTTCCCTGCCCTGCATTTCAACTCCTACCTCCAGGTGTGGGCCCGGACCTACCCACGGGGACTGCTCGAGTTTCCGATCCCGGTGGGGCCGTGCAATCTTCCCCCACTGATACTTTGTCACGGTTGGGTAACATTTTACATTTTTATGGGTACTTAAACCCAATAAGGAAGTAAAATGTACATTTTTAATCCTAACCCAACAATGATCAAGGATATTTATGCATTCGCAGATCTGCGCCTTGGTGCAGGGCACAAGGCCATGCCTCCGGGTGAGGCCGTTGCAAGGCAGGGTCTCCAAAGCATTGCTGCTACTGCTGTGGTGCTACTGCTATGCAGACGGCCTTTGCTATTATTGATTCTTATGGCAATTTTTCTACCATTATATACTGCTGCCAAACCAAAACTGACGACGACGACTACTACGACTACTACGACTGCTCCTACTCCTACTCCTGCTCCCGCTCCTGCTCCTGCTCCTGCTCCAACTCCCACTCCCACTCCTACTCCTACTCCTGCTCCTGCTCCTGCTCCTGCTCCTACTCCTACTCCTACTCCTACTCCTACTGCTACTGCTACTGCTACTGCTCCTGCTCCTGCTCCTGCTCCTGCTCCTGCTCCTGCTACTGCTACTGCTACTGCTACTCGTACTGCTGCTACTACTGCTGCTACTACGACGACGACTACTGCTGCTACTATTGCTACTACTGCTACTACTGCTGCTACTCGCTGCTACTCGGTACTACTGCTGCTGCTGCTGCTGCTGCTGCTGCTCCTACTACAGCTATTACACCACCACTGCCGCTGCCCCTGCCCATTGTCGCTGCCACTGCCGCTGCCGTGCCCTGCCCTTGTCCTGGCCCTGCCTTGTCCCCCACTGCCACCGACTCCAGAACCAGCACCGCGACTGCTACTAGTCCTTTTGGTGCTGCTGACCTTGAACTTGTTGTTCCAGGTGAGGACGTCTACCTGCCAGACCCACTAGCAGAGGTTTCAGACGCAGATGCGACTCTCCTGCCGAAGCCAAAGCCGGTGATGTACAAGTTTGTGTCCCCTGGAGAGCTCGGCTACACGGGCTACACGCTCTTCCAGGGACCGCCGTGTTCACAGCATTGCACATCGGCCGAGACGCAGATGCGCATCGAGTCGATGGAGCAGCTTACAGTTGCTCTGCTCCTGTTCCCAACTCCGCAGTGCGATGAGCTGGAGGAGCCGCCACCAGAAAGAAGTGCCACCAAGCGAGGTAGCAGCAAGGATCGTCCACCTTCCAAGACCGCGCCTCTCCCTCCAAAGCCCAAGCCGGCAGTAACGGAACCGGCCGAGCCACCGGCGTGGCTGGCAGAAGGCTGGAAGGCCATCCCTCAGAAAGTCGCCACCACTGTAGAGTCGCCGGAAGGGACGATGGTGAAATGCATACAGGCCTACACACAAAGCCTGGAGCCAGGAGAGGTTCTCTCCGTGCCAGGCTGTGGCCCCGATTTCTTCGCCATCTTCCTCTACAAGCAGACCTCCCCTGAACGCCCCGACGTGGTGCGGCCTTTGGTGCTGCGTGAGCCGGCGCTCCTGGCCGCAGGTGATCGAGTAGAGGCCCTACTGCAGCAGTTAAGTGCGGAGCTGGGGGATGACATGGCCAGGGAGGTGCTGATGACCGAGGCGACGAAGCAGGCTGCCTTCGAGCCGCCTCAGAAGCTAACCGTGAGGGGAAGCTCGCGCACGGGCTGGCCCAAGCTCTGCCAGGAAGGCAGCCACGAGGACATAGCGCGCTGGATCTTTGAGCACAAGGCGGGACTTTTGATTTGTAGCCTGCATGAACCAATGCTCCTTGCCGTCTGCCGATAAGCATGGAGTTTTCCTGTAGTCGCTGTCGCAAAGAGTGGGGACCCCGTGCAGGTTGACGTGTTGGCCGGGATCACCTCGGAGCCCGTGGCTCGAGATATCCTGAAGAGTTTGGGCGGCTTGAAGGCTCCCGTAACGGTCCCGCTGATGCAAGATCGCTGTGCTGCGATTCGAGAGCTCCTGGATCTCCGCTCAATCTCGACCACGCTGCAGAGCCATCCAAAGCTTCTGACACACAGCTCCGAAACTTTCCGAGAAAGCTTCAGAGAAGTGGAGGAGCACCTCGGCACACTGCCGGCACGGGAGGTCTTGCGCGCGCACTCTAACCTTCTGATGGTGGATAGCCAGCTGCTAGAGTTCTTCTCCATCATGTCGGAGCGGTTTAACGATGACGACCTCCGGCATCTTCAGCAAACTGGCAGCGGCATCCCGGCACAACAGCTTTTGGTTGAGTCGGTTTGCGGATAATACGGCGTTTTAATTCTAGTCAAACATCTGCACGATACAACGGTACACGGAGGCGGTGCTGACCGCTCAAAGCCACCTTTCAAAATGTGTACTACAACGTCCTTTGCTGGGGGTATACGGCCCAAGCCTCACACACTCGCCACACATGAAAGCCCTAAGCCCTGAACCAGTGTTCAAAACTTCTATACGGCTACGGCACAGGTCTTTTCTTCTCAGCCCAGGCCTCCAGCGAGAATCCCCGATTCAGAACACCCAAAACCCAATGCAAATAAAAGCCGCACACCCTAAACTTCCAAACCATGCGCTCTCTGCAGCAGAAACGGCGTAGAAAGAGGCCCTAGAATACGAAGGTCTAAACCTTCCCAAATTCTGCCCATCCCATAAATCCTACAAATCCTGTAAATCCTACGAATCCTGTGAATCCTATAGGCCCCCAAAAGCCGAAAACGGCAGGTGGGTGGCTGAAATGGCCCGAGATCGTCGGAAAGCCTCGGCCGGAGATCCAAGCATGGCGAGGCCGACTCAGAGTTCTCTCTACAAGGGGTTAAGGGTTGTAGGCTTCAGAGAGAGAGAGAGAGAGAGAGATTCTTATGTATAGATAGGGTTTAGATGGGTTTAGGGTATTGAATCTTATTAGGGAGTTATTAATGGGGTTAGGGGTTTCGAGGTAAATTCGGGTTTAGGGTTTCGCGGTGCATTAGGGTTTAGGGTTTCGCGGTGCATTAGGGTTTAGGGTTTCGGGATGAATTAGGGTTTAGGATTTCGGGCAGAGTAAGGGTTTGGGTACAGGGTTAATTCGGGGTTTAGGCTTGCGGGGTTCAGGGTTTGGATCTTGAGAGGTGTAAATCGAGGCTTGTGCAAGTACAACAGGACTCACTCCAGGGCCTTTATAAATCACGGCAATGTATACGGGAGTTTCCAAAAAATAGGGGACTTTAATATAGTACCCTAAAGAGTCGCATCCTTATTGCAAGGACCCCTAAATAAGGTACCCCCCCTTTTCGGAAGCTCTAGACCCTAAACCCTTTATAGAACCCTCAGAAGGATCCTTATAGATCCCTTTAACGGTACCCCAAATTTTCGGAAGCTCCCATATGATGGCATAGCTGTGTTTCGGTATGGCTGAGGGCTTCAGGAGACCGAGAGTCTGAGGGCGAGAGCCCAGTAGCCATGAATCAAGGAAGATTCCATTTGGGTGTTTGTCAAAGTTATGGTCCCTTTGTTGGGTACCCTGATATAGTACGGCACCTAATATTTAGCGTACCCAAAACGGGACCATAATTTTGACAACCGCCCATATGGGTAGTTGTCAAAATTATGGTCCCTTTTTGGGTACCCTAAATATTTGGGTGCCGTGTTATATTAAGGACCGTAAAGGAACCATAATTTTGACAACCACCCCTATGTTGCAGGCAGATTTCGGGGTTAGGTATTGGGCTCTCTTAGATGGTGTGCGGTTTCAGGCATCGAGGGTTTAGTTTGTGGCTGGGCTCGTCAAGGATGTTCGTTGAGGTTCCCGTGTTTGCCAATGTCCTTTGTCCCATGTACGCGCCGATTTGCGGCTCGCCTAGCAGCTGAGCCCTGTCGCCTCTACAGTCACTTACATGACATCAGCAGACCCCTTTTCCAAAAGATCTGGCAGCGCACTCCCAAGTGTTCCATGTGCAGCTACGTGGTCAGCAAGCAATAAGTCTCGGAGGACATGTGGCGGGACATCACCGACAGCGCTGCTGTGCCGAATCCTGGCTGGTATCGTCCTTTGGGTGTGTATTGTGCAGGGCTTGGGTTCGCGATAGTTTCTTGGTGCTCCTGTGCCCCGAAGTCTTTGCATCAACTCAATACCGGAGGGGCACCCTGACGCGGTCAATCCGTCAAGCCCTGCACTCATAGTAGCGCTGAGCCCTGCAACAGCAGCAACAGCAACAAAAACGCAAGTGAAACCGGCCCACCACCATGCCCATAAGCATAAGGCCAGCAGCCACTGCAACGGAAACCACCGCACACCCATGATCATCGCTGGTAGCACCCTCAACATCAACACCGGTACAAGCATCAAGACCAGCACCAAGACCAACATCAACAACGGCAGTAGCAGCTGCAGCAGCGGTGGACATGCAGTGGCGGTGGCAGCCGCGGCAGCAGCGCCAGCGGCAGCAGACACTAGCAACAACAGAATCTTGAGAACAACACAATACCAAACAGCAACAAGAGCAGCATCGACAACACCACCAACTATGCGGTATGGTGATCCAAACATATGCTTACACACGCGACAGCTTAGATTTCGACGGCTACATCTATGTATATTCCGTGTTGGCCACCGGAGTTGCAACACCAGCAACAATGAGGAGTAGTAGTACAAGTAGTATCTTAGCACTGGTAGTCAGAGACATCTTGTGGTCGTGGTCATGGTGGCAGTCGTTTTCATGGCCGGTGCATGGTCGCAATATGTAGCAATGTCGCAGAAGTCGTCGTAAGTCGTAGCAAGTAGTGGTTAGGCTGCGGGGATTGCTTTAAACTCTGTGGTTTCTGGGGCTTCTTTAAATTGGGATCCTGTTATTTGGGGACATTCGGGGTCTATCTCATAGGGTCTAATATCGGGTAAAGTGGATTGATAGGCACGGCGTAGTCCTTGTAGTTAGTGCCCGTGCCCTTCCGAAACTCCCACCTCAACAGCAGCGCCAACCTTCGCGCAATGGTAAGTGTCATACTCATGAAAGCCATAGTTTGCCACACAAGCGATAAGTTAGCTGAGCCAGCGGCGACACCACCGGGTAGTAGAAAGCACGTAGTAGAAAACACGATGGCCAGACTGGAACAGTAATTGAGGTAGCAATATGGGTGGTTGTCGAAATTCTGGTCCCTTTCTTCGTCCCTACTATAGTTTAGGGTACCCAAAAAGTGACTCTAATTTTGATAACCACCCAGAGAAACCTAGAACCCTCAACTCGTTAAGCCCTAACAGCTGCAAAGCTTCAAACGATGTTTGAAGTCTCTCCAGGTCTTCCGCACTAACTCCCTAAAGACTTTAAATCCAACAACCCCAAACCCCACAACGCCCACAATAGAGAAGCCTGAAAAGCGGAACTTCGTACTACTATGCCTGGGTTCCTTCTCATAATCTAAATGATCAAACAAAACAACCCCAGACCCTGGTCCAAGCATCAAGGCGCCTATACCAAGGCCCAAGAAGCCCGCAAATCTAAGCTCTGAAACCAGGGTCTGAGTGCCCCCACCTACCCTAAGCCCTAAAACCCCCGAAACCCTAAACCCTAAATCCCTAAAACCCTAAACCCTAAATCCTAAATCCTAAACCCTAAACCCTAAACCCTAAATCCCTAAAACCCTAATCCTCAGCCCTGGCCCCACATCCTTCCTGAAGCTGAATCGGATCCCAGGACCGAGTCCTAGCCTTCGGAGCCGAGCCACAGGGGGCGGCGGCTTTGGCGATGCTGACAGGCGCAGGGACCTTGGGGGTACTTGGAAATAATTTCAATTTTGGGTTATGGACCCCAAAACCCTATTCTAATCCTAGGGGTACTTAGAAATAGTTTTTAATCTTGGGTTATTATAATCCCTCAGAAACAGCTAAAATTCTAATTTTTGTTAGGGTTCTAAGTTCAGTATAGGGACAAGGGGCGGAATACTGTAGGCTTGGGTTTCGACGCTCACTGTCGCACACACATGACGTTGATCGGAGGGGACAAGGGGACTGAGGAAGATTGGACAGTGCCGTTAGCCCCTTTCCTTATCCACCCGCCCCTCCCTTGCCCTCGCAGCCACACATACACACCAAAAGGAGCCACCAACCCTCAAGGTTCTTTTTGAATGCTTGCACACAGCTGACCTAGAGACGCATGCCTCACCCGGATTGTCCGAGGTGCGAGAGCCGAACCTCCAAACCCTACAAACCCGTTTTGTCCCTTGGTGTACAAGTAGCAAGCTCAGTGGACTCAGCGCCTAAAGCCATGCCTGCCTTGTGCGAGTGTGTGAGTCGACCCCCACAAGCTTGTAGCACCAAGGGCCCTCAACCCTAAACCCTCTCTTTTCTGCTGGCAGGGTCTGGTTCCGGGTTTCAGGTGTGGGATTTTTGCAAGCCAAAACCCGGAACTCGGCAGAAGACAATGCTGCGAAAAGATCATGAAGAGAGGGGCTCTTATAAAAACCGAAACAAATGGCAGAGAGGCTTCGAAAGAATATGGACCTACTCAATGGCGGGTTTCCTTCAGGGTTTCGGATTGTCGGTTTGTGTGGCGGATTCCGGCTGCAGAGACCTTACGGCGGGACAGTGCGACTGTAGGAATTTCCAGTTTCCGCTTTACGCCAACATCTTTAGATTAGAGTCCCTGAACCCCCCAAAACCCCATAAGCCTTCAACCCTCACCCGAGGAGTCAGCCTCAGATTTCAGGGGATTTTGAGATATGGAGGTCTGGGTCCTACTGGCCCGTCTTATATAGTTTGGCAACGCTACAGTATTGTCTTGTATGGTTGCCTCAGGTCAGTTTGAGGGGCTATTGCTGCGGTTCAGGAATTCGGCTTTACCTGAACGCAAAAGTATGTAGAATAATAGCCTTTTATAGGTTCTGGGCCATTATTTTACCTACTTTGGGGGGTCTAGGTAGTAAGGCTTTGGTGATTCCCGGGGAAGCCTTCCGCTTGAGGCTGAATTTCATGCTACGTGGTTGTGGGGGTTTCCGAAAATTAGGGGACCCTAATATAGTACCCTAAATAGTAGGATCCTTATTATAAGGCCCCCCAAAGAAGGTACCCCTAAATTTCGGAAACTCCCTTGTGTCACACTGGCTTTGCATCTCTAGGTGTGAACTGTTGTTCATGCTTTGCTCTTTGCTTACTGTGTGGTCTTGTGTAGGCGAAATCCCAGAAATTCCGCCGCTGCTACTCGAGTGAGGAAGGAGGGGGCCAGCTGCTGAAGATGTTTCGAGCTTAGGAATCCCGAAACCCTTCAAACAATAACAAATATAGGGGCCTAAGTAGTTACCAACACTATTGTGGGTGTTCCTCATTATACTTATAATAAACCCTTATTCTAAGTATTAAGGCCCCTATATAAAGCACCTACAGTCGACGGTAAACGACCTGTTTCACCCCAAGCCCGATGCAGCAGCGAGCACCAGCGCCATAAGGTGCCGGAGGTTCTGCATCTTTAGCAAGTCTCGTCTCAGGGAGTCGTTGTAGACTTATTATTTAGACGCATAAGATCACTTGTAGTATAATATAGTATATGATGGTCGTTTTAAGTACAATGCAGTATATCACAGTACATAATATATAGTCTAGATGAAGGGCTTAGGGTGGGGCTTGGGGGTTCATCGGGAGTCGGATGACCGGCCTCGTCTCACAACATGTCAGCCTGGCTGCTTCCTAAGGCTGCAGCCACCAATTCACAAGCCGGCATGCAGTTAAAGAAAAGTCGCCCCGTGCAGCCTGAACCCAAAGATCTAAAACCTTAAACCGAAGCAGCGCCGAAAACTTGAAACCTAAGCAGCGCCGAAACCCTTCAAGTAGGTAAACAATGGCCCAAAACCTATGAAAGGCTATCACTCTACATACTTTTGGGGTCCAAGCAACCCTACCCGACCAAATCCGTAGACTCACATCCTCAGGTCAGGTGAAGATGCGAGCCCTGCTTAATGCTTCCTTTGTCCTGAGGGGAGTCGATGAGCAGAAGCGAACGGGTGTGCGGCAGCAGAGGGAGAGAGATGGGGAGAGAGAGACCGCTACCTAGACCTCCCAAAGTAGGTAGAATAATGGCCCGAAACCTATAAAAGGCCATTATTCTACATACTTTTGGGGTTCAGGTGTGGCTCTATGGGAAGAAGGACGGAGATGTAGAGAGCAAGCCTGCGAGGCCAGCTACTTCTTTTCGAGCGTTGAGCTGGCTGGAGAGGAAACCATACTTAAAGGATCGTGGGACTTAGCAACTAGGGTGATAAGTAGGGTAACTATACTTATAACCCCAATGAGGGTACTTATAGCCTTACTTACTAAGTCCTATGATCCTTCAAGTAGGCGCAAGTAGAGGCGATGACTATCCAAACCCAAATAAACCCTAAACCCTAAACTGTCCGAGTGTGAGCGCCGAAACCGACTAAAACAGCCATAATAAAAGCTATAGACCCTAAAACCCTAACCCGACCCTTCAAGACTCTGTTCGCTCAGGTTGCGGATCGGCGGCACCTCCTATCGCAAGGGCGATGCGGTGGAGGTCTCCCGCAGTTGCCATCGCGGTTTGGGGTTTAGGGTTCAGGGGTTCAGGGTTTCGGGTTTAGGGTCATGGGTTTCATCCTAAAGTCCTAAAGAGTGGAGTGGTAGTGCGCAAAAGTCTTCTGGCCGGCTGAAGAACGGCAGAGGAGGCAGTGCTGGCAGTCATCAAGTCTGGTTTCAAAAGGGGTTGTCATCGTTGACGCTCTGGCGATATTTCGTCTTGCAGGCAGGCCTCGGCTGAAGATGGATCCATGGTTCAGGGTTTAGCGTTAATTAAGTGTTTAGGAACCATGGTTCAGGGAGGTGTTGATTTCACTGTCCGCGGCCAGAAGCCGAAGCCTGCGCAAGTAAGCGGGCGATGTTTGCTTCTGATCAGTGCGAGGCCACTAAACGGGTGTTTACGCGGCAAGTCCTGTTCTTCTCTTCGCCTTCTCCAGTTCTCTTGCAGGTCGAAGTGCCTACCTCGAAGCCCTCTGTGCAGACTTTGCAGCATGAGCCGTAGCAAGTTTCACAAACGGAGAGGTCGTAGAGATGCGTGTGTAGTTTACTCTGTCTGAGTCCGAAGTTGGAGGCTTAATTCGCATGCGGACAACGCAACAAAAGGCGTAAAACCTCAAATCCGCCTGTACTTCAACAACTACAAAAGCAATAACAACAACAACAACAAAAGCAACAACAACAACAACAACAACAACTACTACTACAAAAGCAGCAACAACAACCACCGCCACAACCACAACAACAACAACAACAACCACAACCACAACCACAACCACAACCACAACCACAACCACAACCACAACCACAACCACAACAACAACAACAGCAACAGCAACAGCAACAGCAACAACAACAACTACTACTACAACTACTACTAGTACTAGTACTACTACTACTACTACTACTACTACTACTACTACTACTACTACTCCTACTACTACTACTACTACTACTACTACTACTACTACTACTACTAACGACTACTACTTACTACTACTACTACTACTACTACTACTACTACTACTACTACTACTACTACTACTACTACTACTACTACTACTACTACTACTACTACTACTACTACTACTCCTAATACTACTACTACTACTACTACTACTACTACTACTACTACTACTACTACTACTACTACTACTACTACTACTACTACTACTACTACTACTACTACTACTACTACTACTACTACACTGTTGAAGTTTTGAACCTCAGATCATGTGCTGTCGTCATTCGCAGCCTCGCGAGGTGTGGAGCGACTCCAAATCAACTTGGATGGATGCGATCGTGCAGGACATGGCCATGAATACAAGTTCCTATAGAGGCCCTAATATTACCAATGCCATTTCAGGGGTTCCTTATTATAGTTAAGGTATAGTGGGCCCAAACCCTATTGCAATTATTTGACGCCCCTATCTTAAGCAGTTGACAGCTGAGCTAGTGTTACTAACCATGAATCCTATCTACGCCGATGGTCATGTGCCTTGCTACTTGGCTCGTCTTGCAGCTTTCTTGTGCTCTCTTCAGATTTCCACATCATTAATGCATTTATCCTGGGCTCTCGTGTCTGTTTCTGACCAAGGTTTCTGATGCAGTGGCTCTGCTGCGATGTTCCCTGACATGCTATATAGAAGCTATAATTTCCAATATTACTGCTCGGGGTTCCTTATCTTATAGGGTGCAAACTGAACTTTTCAACTTTTGGGGTTCTTATGAGGTAATCGATTCTTAAAGTTTCAACATTTGTTTCCTTGGGTTTTGGGTCAGTGAGTGAACAACTTTTTGGTATAGTATACCCCAGAACCTGTTCTAATTATTGAGGCCGCCTACATTACCCAAAGTTCCGGCCATAGAAGCCGGGACCTGTAAGGGGCTACTGTAGGGGCCTTAATAAGTAGAATAGGGTTTCGGGGCCCATTATGCTATAATCATGGCAAGGAACCACCCAAACTAGTATTGGTGATGATTTAGGCCCCTGTATTGTCCGAGGCCGGAGAAATGTGAGAGGCCAGTCTAGGCAAACAGATTGAGGACACCAAATCGTGCCTTCACTGTATTCTAGGCACAGATATGTAGAAACAGAAGGAATGGAAAAACACCAGCAACCACTAGTCAGAAAGATCTGCCAAACCTGAGCCTCCAGACCCCCGAATCGGATTTTGCAGAGTCTTGTCGGTTAGAAGTTTCAACAGAATTTACAAGATCCTGTGAAGATTTTGCAAGGTGTATTCGTGACTCCTGTGTCCTGCACTGACTAGAACTCTCGCCCTCAACACTGAAGCTGCGCCAACACGGCGGTTATGTGACAGGGACCCGCAGGTTACCAAAGGTTTTACATACTTTGTAAAGGCCCAAACCACCTGCAAACCCTGGACTACCTCACTTACCCCTAAACTACAGCCCCAAACCCTAAACCCTGAACCCTCAACCCTAATCCCCAAAGCCCAAATCCTAAAGCCTAGATATGAACTAGCCCTAAACATACTGCCGCTGCCACCGCCGACCGTTCCTCGCGAGGCTCGTGCTGGAGCCTTAAGGGCTCTAGCCGGGCCCCTTAAAGGGATCTTTAGGGTTTAGGGTTCCTTCATTTTCAGACAGGCTGTGGGACGATGTAGCTTCTAGAATTCAGCAAGATTCAGGGCAGTGGGGGAGTTTCTACGGTTGGAAAGCTACTTTGAAGATCATAACTCATAGCTATTATTCCTTGGAGTTCCTACCATTACATAACCCCCTAGTCCTAGTCTAATCATTAACGCTCCATTAGGCAGGCAAGTCTGAGCCGTCTTTGCAACGGTGTCAACTGGACCCAAAGACCTTACACATGCCATGGTCTCCAAATCCCAAACCCTTCGCTCCAAAACCAAAGCCCCAAAGATCTACAGAAAGAGCCGTCATACTTGGGTCCGTTCGGCTTTGGGCCGGCCTCCTGTGCTTTGTCCATGGCTGGGCGTGCCGCGAGCTTCCAGGTCTCCTTCCTTTCAGTTTTTGGTTTGATACAGGCTTTAGGTACAGGTTCAGGGCTTAGGGTTTAGGTTTTAGGAAAACCAAGCTCCTGGAAGAGTAGGATTTAGGATTTGGCGTGGGGGGAAGGTCACAGGTTCCGCTGCGGGTTTAGGCGCCGGAGTTTAGATGGGACATGCATACACTGGGTCTGCGCGGGCTTGCTTAGAAGCCCTTTTGAGACTACCATATTGGCCTAAATTATCTACACTCTTTGGAGGGCTCCCTATTATTATGATTATGATTATTATTAATATATAATGGGCCCCGACTCCCTATTCTAACCACTAGGGCCGCCCCTATATTATTAAGCCTCCTCTTGACATTCCGAATGGTAAGGCAAAGTATCCCGAACTCCATGGCCGTGTGGCCGGGAAGACTCGAGCCCCCGAGCCCTAGCAGGAACATGTGGTTTAGGGTTAAAGGCTGATTAGGGGGTTTAGGGTTCCTTTAAAGGGATCCATCAGGGCTCCTTAGTCTATAAAGGTTCTATAAAGGGGTTTAGGCTTTACAGTAGAAGCCCAAAAGTTGGAAAACCAATAGCCTCAATCCTTAAGAGTCATGTATAGGGAATCCCAGCTCTATTTGGCCTTAATCCGGTTTCCAACTTTATGGGGTTTACTGTATTCCTTTGTACCAGGTTTTTTTCTTGATCAACTGTGCTGCACTGT